CACGGGAGGGTCCTATAAGGTCTCCCCGGAGCCTTCTCTTCTCCAGGCTGAACAAGCCCAACTCTCTCAGCCTGGCCCCATGGCAGAGGGGCTCCAGCCCTCGGAGCATCTTCATGGCCTCCTCTGGACTCGCTCCAAGCGGTCAATATCATTCTTTTGTGGGGGGCTCCACAGCTGGACGCAGCACTCCAGGTGGGGTCTCACCAGAGCAGAGTAGAGGGGCAGGCTCACCTTCCTCGACCTGCTGGCCACACTTCTCCTGATACAGCCCAGGATATGGTTGGCTTTCTGGGCTGCCCGCTCACACTGCCAGCTCATGTTCAGCTTTTCTTCCACCAGTACCCTCAAGTCCTTCCAAGGGCTGCTCTCTGCACCCAGCCTGTACTTGTGCTTGGGATTGTCCCAACCCAGGTGCAGGACCTTGCACTTGGCCTTGTTGAACTCCATGAGGTTGGCAGTGGCCCACCTCTCCAGCCTGTCCAGGTCCCTCTGGATGGCATCCCTTCCCTTCAGCATGTCGACCGCACCACACAGCTTGGTGTCGTCAGCAAACTTGCTGAGGGTGCACTCACTGCCATCATCCATGTCACTAACAAAGATGTTAAACAACACAGGTCCCAACACCAACCCCTGAGGAACGCTGCTTATCACTGGTCTCCACTCGGACATTGAGCCGTTGACCACCACTCTCTGAGTGCGACCATCCAGCCAGTTCTTTATCCACTGAGCTGTCCATCTATCAAATCCATGTCTCTCCAGTTTAGAGAGAGGGGTGTCATGTGGGACAGTATCAAAGGCTTTGCACAAGTCCCGGTGAATGACTCAGTTGCCTGGCCTTTATTCCCCAAGGTTGTGACCCCATCGTAGAAGGCAGCCATAATGCGTCAGGCATGATCTGCCCTTGGTGAAGCCGTGTTGGTTGTCACCAATTACATCTTCATTCTCTATGTGCCTCAGCATGGTTTCCAGGAGGATCCACTTCATAAAAAAAAAAAAGGAGACAACCAGGAGTGGGGAATGACTCAGTTGCCTGGCCTTTATTCCCCAAGGTTGTGACCCCATCGTAGAAGGCAGCCATAATGCGTCAGGCATGATCTGCCCTTGGTGAAGCCGTGTTGGTTGTCACCAATTACATCTTCATTCTCTATGTGCCTCAGCATGGTTTCCAGGAGGATCCACTTCATAAAAAAAAAAAAGGAGACAACCAGGAGTGGGGGTTTGAACCCACGTGGACATACGTCCATTGGATCTTAAGTCCAACGCCTTAACCACTCGGCCATCCTGGTGCAGGTAGACTTTCATAGAATCACAGACTGGTTTGGGTTGGAAGGGACCTTAAAGACCATCTAGTTCCAACCCCCCTGCCATGGGCAGGGACACCTTCCACTAGACCAGGTTGCTCAAAGCCTCATCCAGCCTGGCCTTGAACACTTCCAGGGATGGGGCATCCACAGCTTCTCTGGGCAACCTGTGCCAGTGCTTTGCCACCCTCTCCGTGAAGAATTCCTTTCTGACGTCCAATCTAAATTTGCCCACTTTCAATTTAAACCCGCTACCCCTTGTCCTTTGAAGAAGACTGACTTACATTACAAACACACAAATCAGTAAACTAAGGCTTTTATTATTTTATTTAAGTTTTCAAGAAACAAATCAGAGATTTGTATAACAAATAAGCATAGAAGTGAAACTCACTAGCTTCAGTTCTCAGAGAAATATTGGAACAATTGAGTAAACTATTTGTAAATTCTTATTAAAAAACATGGAGATGAATAGAAGCCAACACAGATTTATGAAGAAAATCATATTGGAAGTGTCCAATTTAATGTGAAAGTAATAGGTTTGTATATAAATGTACAATATATCGTATATCTTGACTTTAATAATGTTTCACACGATACTGTTATTAACAAAGGTTATTTAGTTGAAAATACAATAGATAGGTGTAAAGCTGGCTAGGAAACATACCTGGGGTGTAATTATCACCGGTTCACAGCCCAAAAAAGGAGGGTTACATCAAGTAGGGTTTTTCAGGGTTCTCCCTTGGATCTGGTACTACTCAATATTTTCATTAATGAGTTGGTTTAGAGATCATGGCTTTTGGGATGCGTAGACAACACCAAATTTACAGGGACCACCTGCAAAAATCAGGCTGCTATTCAACAGAGACAGTGGCAAATTGTTACCTTTAGACAGGGAGAACCAGGCATGTGTTCCTCTGAATGAAGAATTACTGCCTTGATGCACCCTGCCAAAAAGTCTTAAGTGTAATAATGAGGATCATGGAAAAAATGAGTGAACAAAATGAATGAACAAATACCATGCATAAAAATTTTAAAATATATAATTGTAAGGTATGTGAAGTAGTCCTTTTGTTCTACCTATTGGTCATTAGCAAGGTTACAGCTGTGTCCAGTTTTGCACTTGAAGAAGGATGTGGACTAACTGGAGAAAGAGCACAGGATAGTGATGATTGCAATATGTCTATAAACTTGTAGAAACGATGAATGAAAAAGGATTATCCTAACATAGGATGTATTCAGAGAGTATGAAAATAATGTTATAATAATAATAGTTCTTCATGTCTGTTTTTAATAGTAAGTAGAGGATTGAAGTTTCAACAAAAGATAACAATGACAGACCATCAGAAAAAAAACTTTCTACAAAAAAGGAGCAATGAAATAGTGGAATGTGTGGATTGTAGAGATAAGTGGGACTCCACTGCAAGTGGTCTTTAAGAACAGTATGTAAAGATAAGACAGTTACATCCTTTCTTATTACAAGAAGATGACTAGAGGACATCTTGAGTTCCTTTCTAGGCTTCAACCTATATGAAATTAGCTTTATAAAGCACATGCTATATTTCAGTTTGTAGAAGTTCTTAAAATAACTCTTTGACATCTCTTTTTCTAGACTATCATATGACTGGTATTTTTATCCAGTATTTTAAACATTTAAAATTCATTGCTAAAACTATGAATTAGTTTTACTAATGCACTCTATTTAAGGGACATAGCAAGAAAATCCAGATAGCTAGATTTATACTAACTTTTTTTTTTTTTCTTTTTTTAAATCCCTGAATCAAATGTGTTGTATTACAGGACATGAAGAAATTTGAAGTTGAGCTGAGAGCCCTGCAGGCTGCTCTGGAGCAAGCCCAAGCCACACTGACCTCTCCAGACCTCGGGCATTTGAGCTTGAAAGAGCAGCTTTCTCACAGACAGGTAAAAGGCCAGCACCTCAAGGTTAGCACCTGAGCAGCTTGTGGGCTTACACAAAGAATAATGAAGGTTGGTGAGACCAATGGTGGTGTTTCTTAGGTGGGTCATTGTTTCAGAGTCTAGCCCCAAATTACTAAAGGGGAAGCCTTGCCAGTCATGTCTGAGGAATAGGTTATTATACCAAATCTCTGCTTAGAATATCCACCATATGTCTTGAAGGCACAGAAATAAAGAGCAAACCACAATCCTCTCATCAGTATGCACTTCAGACCCACTTAGCCATGTTTCTGCATATGGTATAGGAGATGGGAGACACCAGTCTCTTTGTCCCTGTATGCCACATATGTTGTCTAGCTGATTTTTATCTATTGAGCTTAAAATCTTTTTCTAGTGTGCAAAGGCCCTTTTCATCAACATTGCCTTTTTCTTTTTTTAAATTGTTTTTCTCTTTGTGAATACATTAACTCCCCAGTGAAGATAAAAAGAATGCTGATTAAATCTATTCTGCAGTCATTGCACTTAGACCCTTCCCATGCATAGGAACAGTCAGCTTGAATGGACATTGTGAATGGAATAGGGACTATTAACAAATGCATCCAGCGCATGATTATTCAAAGGAAAAGATTTCTGACTAGCTGTGATTTTTTCCTCTTTGATTGCGTTCTGCATTTTAAGCAACACTTTCAGTCATGGTTTGTATTTCAAAGAAAGGCTGTGAACACAGTGGGATTCATGTGCTGGTTTGAAAATGTGCTTCTGTGTCCCAGCAGGGAGTTCCACTTGGATTTTCACATTAAAATATGTGTATACATAAATGACTCCTATGCTGCTTTGATTTATGGATTTTGTAAAAAACTTTTTTCAAATAAAAAACATCAGAAAAAAATCAGTTTGTTTTTTTTCAAAACAAATATTTTTGTACTTATAAGTAGGTACTACTATGCTTTTTAATGAGTAATTTTTATTCCTATTATATGGGCTTTTTGCTTAACTGATATTTGCAAGAATGCTCGTCTCAAAATGAGCAACTCCAGACAAAGTGTGTCCTGATTATATTCAGTTTAGACAACAGATAATCAAATTTGTTGTTTGTTTTAGTGGTTTGACTCATCATTATTTTTTTTTTTTGCTGCACCAAATGCTCTGGGACTTCTGCAAAACTGGCTTATTGTGGCACTGACTTTGTTTGTAGCATCTACTGTCTGAAATGGAGTCACTGAAGCCAAAGGTTCAGGCAGTACAAGTCTGTCAGAGTGCCCTGAGGATTCCTGAAGAGGTGGTCACCAGCCTGCCCATGTGCCACAGTGCCCTCCGGCTCCAGGAGGAGGCCAGCCGCCTGCAGCACACCGCCATTCAGCAGTGCAACATCATGCAGGCAAGTTCAACTCATCCCATAAACTGCTCCGAGTAGATTGAACAATGCCAAACAAACTGCGATGGAAAACAGAGGATTTCACATCTCTCTGCATTCCTCCTCTCTGTGTAGTACCATTAGGAAGTTCTCTACCAAGTTTCAGTCATTTCTGACTCCATGTTTTCAGAGGTCTTAATGTTCACGTTCATGTTAATTCCCAATTTATTCATTGGTCTCTCATCTTGGTTCTGTCCTTGATCTTGCTGTATTTTTTGTAATGCTATTAGGATTAACTAGACAAATAGCTAATATACAATTGTATGCAGGTTAATTTTAGAATATATATAATAAGCTAATGAAATTAATATATAATTATTATATCAACTTCTTGTAATTATTACGTAAAAACTATTGAGTTAATTAAATAGCTTTCTAGGGTTAAAATAATGATTTTTTTTTCTCTTCAAATATACAATTATATTTTCATAGTTTTCAAGTTTTGCTAAATACAATAAAACTAGGTTTTATTTAGTTTTTGGAATTTGTACCTAAACATGTTGAAGATATTTCCAAAGAAGAAGAGAATAAGCGTTTCTTTTCTGCTATGTAGCGATAGGAAAATACATAATGTGCTAGGGTACAGCTGCAGAGCTTTGTTAGATAACAGGAGAAACTTTTGATCACTCAGGATACTTAATCATACTTAAGTACAAGGAAGGATACAATGTCACACTGTAAAGTTTTAACAACACGGGTTAGACAAACTGCGGGTGAATCTGTTGTAGAAAGGAAGAACTGGTACGACGGTGGGAGGATAATGGTCTGAATCAATCTTTATGATCCTCTCATAGTTACATTTTCTATGAAATCTAACTTTTCATATAGTCTTTCCACTTCATAAATTGAGGCTTGAAGTGAAAAAGCAGATGAAAATGCTTTACAGTAAAACCATGAGACTAGTCAATGCTGTCTTTTGGTGGGTATGTTTGCTACAGATACTTGTTGGAAGTGGAAGTTCTAGCTCCTCATACTGCATATCTAAAACACCATGTTATATGAACGTTTTTTTGAAATAGTTAAATAAATGAAACCATTGAATTCATTGCAGTTCTCAATATTTCTGAACAGACTTTTTTCTGACTGTATTCCTGATTTGCTTATCTGGCTCTGAGTGTCAGATAGATGTAAGTTTGTCCCACTTCTGAAGGGACATCAGTTATGCTTGGACTAAGTAAATATTTATTTTCGTATAGACACTCAGTGTTTTTTTCCCTCTCTAGGAAGCAGTGGTTCAGTATGAGCAATATGAGCAAGAAATGAAACATTTACAGGAAATGATAGAGAGTGCCCATCGTGAGATCCAAGACAAGCCAATAGCAACCAGCAACATCCAGGAACTCCAGAACCAGATTTCGCGTCATGAGGTAGGAGAGTCAAAATACAACAACATGGGCTCAATGGCAGCTTGTTGACCCAAAAAACTTTTCACAAGTAGCAGTCATAAATTACCTGAGTAGCTTTTTAGACTTGCTCAAGGCTAGTTGAGCAGATAAATTTAATACCAGATAGGAAGCTCATGCTATTGGTACAGTGTGGCATAGTCATTTGTTTGTTCAGTTAGATGTGTCCTAATCTCCAGGCAACATAATGAAAGCACTGCAGAATTAAGTGACAGTTAACATAGGTACTTGACTGGGGAATGTCCCAGAAGTCA